CTTCCTCCAATCCTGATGCATGTTCTTCATGTAATCCAGCTTCTCAGATGATTTGCTCAGTGTACAAATGGAGTAAGTATGGTGAAAGGATACAATCCTGACACACTACCTTACTGATTTTAAACCATGCAGCATCCCCTTGTTCTGTTTGAATGACAGCCTCCTGATCTATGGACGAGTTCCTTATGACACAATGACATGTTCTGAAATTCCCATTCTTCTCAATGTTATTCATAATTTGTTATGATCCATGCAATTGAATGCTTTTGTATAGTCAATAAAACATAAGTAAACATCTTTCTGGTATTCTTTACTTTCAGTCAAGATCCATCTGACATCACCAATGGTATCCCTATTCCACATCCTCTTCTGAATCTAGCTTGCATTTCTAGAAGTTCTCTGTCAATATACTGCTGCAGCCATTTTTAAATTATCAGTAAGATCTTACTTGTGTGTGATATTAATGATATGGTTCAATAACTTCCACATTCTATGGGATCATCTTTCTTTAGAATGGGTACAAATATAGCTTTTTATCCAGTCAATTGTCCAGGAACTGTCTTCCAAATCTCTTGGCATAGCCAAGTAAGTGCCTCCAGCACAGCATCTGTTTGTTGAAATATCTCAATGGGTATTCCATCATTCCCTGGAGCCTTGTTCATCACCAATTATTTCAGTGCAGCCTTGACTTCTTCCTTCAATACCATTGGTTCTTGATCCTATGCTACCTCCTGAAATGGATGAATGTTGACCAGTTCTTTTTGGTACAGTGGTACTCTGTGTATCCCTTCCATCTTCTTTTGATGTTTCCTACATCATTCAATATTTTGTCCATAAAATCTTTCAATATTGCAACTCAAGGCTTATTTTTTTCTTCAGTTCTGTCAGCTTGAGAAATACTGAGCATGTTCTTCCCTTTTGGTTTCCTAACTCCAGGTCTTTGCACATTTCCTTATGATAATTGGCTTTGTCTTCTCAAACTGCTCTTTGAAATCTTCTGTTCAGCTCTTCTATCTTGTCATTTCTTCCATTTGCTTTAGCTACTCTCCATTCAAGCCACGTTTCAGAGTCTCTTCTGACATCCATTTTGTTCTTTTCTTCCTTCCTGTCTTTTTAATGATCTCTTGCTTTTTTCATGGATGATGTTCTTGATGTCATCCCACAA